GCCTCCCGGGTTCAAGCCATTCTCCTGCCTCAGCCTCCGGAGTGGCTGGGACTACAGGCGCCCGCCGCCACGTCTGGCTAATTTTTTGGTATTTATAGTAAAGACAGGGTTTCACCGTATTAGCCAGGACGGTGTCGATCTCCTGACCTTGTGATCCGCCCGCCTCAGCCTCCCGAAGTGCTGGGATTACAGGCGTGAGCCACCGTGCCCGGCCACATTCTGACCTTTTAAGCACCTACCTCTCCACTAGGGCAAGAACAAGGGTGAAGTGAGTGAGGCGCTTGCCTCAAGTGCATTTTTTTGTTTGTTTGTTTTTGTTTTTTGAGATGGAGTCTCGCTCTGTCACCCAGGCTGTAGTGCAGTGGCACAATCTTGGCTCACTGCAACCTCCACCTCCTAGGTTCAAGCGATTCGCCTGCCTCAGTCTCCTGAGTAGCTGAGATTACAGGTGTCCACCACCACACTTGGCTAATTTTGTATTTTTAGTAGAGACAGGGTTTCACCAAGTTGGCCAGGCTGCTCTTGAACTCCTGACCTCAGGTGATCCGCCCGCCTCAGCCTCCTAAAGTGCTGGGATTACAGGCGTGAGTCACTGCGCCCAGCCTCTCTGTTCTGCTCTGACTCCCTTCTCTCTCCCATGTCTCAGGGGTCACTGACTGAACCCTGGGCAGAAGACAGTCCCCCAGAACAGCCTCCCCCAGCTTCTGCCCGCTCCTCAGTGGGGGAAGAAGAGCTCCAGTATGCATCCCTCAGCTTCCAGACGGTGAAGCCTCGGGACTTGCAGGGACAGGAGGCCACTAACACCGAGTACTCGGAGATCAAGATCCACAAATGAGAAACTGCAGAGACTCAGCCTGATTGAGCGATCACAGCCCCTCCAGGCAAGGGAGAAGTCAGAGGCTGGTTCTTGTAGAATTAACAGCCCTCAAAGTGATGAGCTAGGCACATAGTGAAAAGCACACAGGCTTTGGAGTCAAAGTATCGCCAACCTGAATCCACACTGTGCTGTCCTTTTTATTTTTTTGACTAAAAGACAAACAAATTCCTACCTCTCTGTACCTTGGTTTCCTGCTCTGGAAAACAGGAATGAGAAGCCCTACTTGCAAGGTTGTGGTGATCATTCCAGGAGCCACATCCCAGCAGAGCTCCTGGCACAGGTGTATGCTGAGCATTGATGAATCGCTGTGCTTTGAACACAAAGGTCCCGCTGGGAACCTCTCCTGATTCTGGTGGCAACTGGTACCTATATGTCTGTGTCACTTGCCTGCAAAATAGTGATTCTGCAATTTTCCAGGAAATGACCTCAGCCTGCAAATCAGGTCTGGGTAGCATCTGGATCCTGCCCACCTCTTCGGCCTCATCTCCCCTCCTTGTGACTGCTAGGCCTCCTTGCTCTCTGTAGTCTAGGTATTGTGCACAGTCCAGCGGGAGTCTTTAGGACACACTGAGCTCTCTCTGCGCTGCTCACAGCCCATCCATGGCTCCTGGATCCTGAACCTCCGATCACATCCTCTTCATGACATCACTCTCCAACCTCAGTCCACTCCTCCATCCTCACCACTTAACCCACTGGTCCCTCTGGCCTTTTCCAAATCATTTGCAACATGTCCTGTTGGTTCATACCTCAGTCCTTGAACACTGGGGACCCTCCTCCTAGAATGCCCTCCTCCTGGGCCTTCATCTGCCTCCGTCTTTAAAAATGGTTCAAGGATTGGACTTCGGGGTTGAGCTGAGGGAGACAGTGAAGCAGCAGCTCATGATCTCCCTCCTCTAAAGCCAGACCCAGGGAATGAGAAACGTTTCCAAAGAGTCAAAGGATCATCTGGCAAATTAAACATGATCCAAAAAAATTCACCTACGTGCAGCACCCGAACAAGGAAAGGAACATCTCACAACAGTCACTTTAGGCAGTAGCCCTGATGAGAAGGGATGAAAGGACTGGAGGAGGCACTAACACTTCCCTAAATCTGGACTCTTGCCCATTTACGGCAGCATCAAAAAACCGTAAAGTACAAAGGAACCATTTTTTTAAAATCACGGCCGGGCACGGTGGCTCACGCCTGTAATCCCAGCACTCTGGGAGGCCGAGGTGGGCGGATCACAAGGTCAGGAGATCGAGACCATCCTGGCTAACACGATGAAACCCCGTCTTTACTAAATATACAAAAATTAGCCGGGTGTGGTGGCGGGTACCTGTAGTCCCAGCTACTCTGAAGGTTGAGGCAGGAGAATGGCGTGAACCCGGGAGTCAGAGCTTGCAGTGAGCCGAGATCGTGCCACCACACTCTAGCCTGGGTGACAGAGCAAGATTCCATCTCAAAAAATTAAAAAAAAAAAAAATCATATGCGAGCTGGGTGTGGTGGCTCACGCCTGTCATCCCAACACTTTGGGAGGCTGAGGCAGGTGAATCTCTTCGGGTCAGGAGTTCAAGACCAGCCTGGCCAACATGGTGAAACCCATCTCTACTAAAAATACAAAAATTAACCAGGTGAGGTGGTGTACGCCTGTAGTCCCTGCTACTTGGGAGGCTGAGGCAGGAGAATTGCTTGAACCCGGGAGGCAGAGGTTGCAGTGAGGTGAGATCGTGTCATTGTACTCTAGCCTGGGCGACAGAGCAAGAGTCTGTCTCAAAAAAAAAAAAAAAAAAAAAAATCCTATGCTATGGTTTGGATATGGTTTGTTAGGCCCTGCCAAACCTCCTGTTGATATTTGATGCCCAGCGTTGGAGGTGGGGCCAAATGGGTGGTGTTCAGGTCCTGGGATTGGATCCCTCATGAATGGCTTGGTGCTGTCTTCAAGGTAATGAGGGAGTTCTCACTCTGTTATTTCCTGTGAGAGTTTCTCCAAGAGCTGGTTGTTAAAAAGACATTGGAACCTCCCCTCCCCAGCCCACGCTTCCTCTCTTGCCATATTGTCTGCACCTGCAGACTTCCTTTTGCCTTCCACCAGGAGTGGAAGCTTCCCGAGACCCTCACCAGAAGCAAAGGCTGGTGCCAAGCACATGGTGCAGAACCGTGAGTCAAATAAACTGTTGGGGGGTGCATGGCAACCTATTCAAGCTTATGTACAAGGCATTTGAGGTCGAGGCATGGAAAAATACTGAGGCACTGTGTGTATGTTGTTTGTGCATGAGACTGTAACTCCTTGACCCTGAAAACAGGGAAAGGAACGGAATGTGTGATAAGGAGCACTGAAAACAGCCTCCTGAGAATGTAGTCTGAGTGTCTTCGCAAGGCCATATGTGTCTCCTGACCCGACCGCAAAAGGCCATCTGGTGGACATTTTGGTTTAACAAGCCCTTTCAAGAAATACTTGGCGGACGGATTCTGGGGCGGCACCCTTCCAGAGATGCTGCTCCGGCCTCCCGCTCAGCTGGAATTGTCTGAGTACTTCATTCTTGGCGTTCACTGCAGCCAGAAGCTGCATAAACCTCTTTTCTTTGTAAACTACCCAGCCTCAGATATTACTCTATAGCAACACAAATGAACTAAAAGACCATGGAATGCTTCTGTACTGATAAATATAGAGCATTTTTGAGAGACTTAAGGAAGGCCCAAATGAAGGAAGAAATATATCACATTCATGAATTGGAAGACAAAAATGGTTAAACTGTCAGTTGTCTGCATATTGATTTAGCTAATCCCTGTCAAAATTCCTATGTGTGTGTATATATATTATATATGTATGTGTGTATATGTATGTGCATATAAGTATATATGAGTGTATATGTATGTATATTATAAATATAAGTTTATATATATACACATATATAGTTATAGATTGATAAATTGTTTCTAAAATTTATATAAACACATAAAGGCCTAGAATAACCAAATCATTGTGATAAGAAACACATTTAGAGAAGTCAGACTTTAACATTAGAGTAATACAGAGAGTGTGATGTGGACTAGAATACAGTCTACAAATAGACCCACACATATACAATCAATTGAATAGCATCAAGTCTATTCAATTGGGACAGGAAAGACTTTTAATAAATGTTGGTGGGTGGCCGGGTGCGGTGGCTCACACTTGTAATCCCAGCACTTTGGGAGGCTGAGGTGGGTGGATCACTTGAGGTCAGGAGTTCGAGACCAGCCTGGATAACATGGTGAAACACCATCTCTACAAAAAAATACAAAAAAAAAAAAAATTGTCTAGTACCTGTAATCCCAGGTACTAGGGAGGCTGAAGCAGGAGAATTGCTTGAACCCGA